AGTGCGGAGTAGATGTGGTTGGCTTCCATCCACCAGCGGTGGGTGACGGACTGTGTGAAGATGCCTCCACACATCAGGTCGTTCAGGGATTGGAGGTCCGGTGGGAACGTGGGTGCTTCAGCTTCGGAAGCTGAACAGAGGGCCTTGGTATGTCCCGGCTGGCAACGGTTGCATCGGGGGCAACGGTAGTGAGAGCAGTCGATGGTTCGGTGGTAGTCGGTGTCGGCACCCTGGCAGACAATGCACGCTGAGTAGTTGGTGATCATGCGTGCAAGGTCGTGCGCATCGACATCCGGGAAGGTGGGCGCTACGAGGAAGTCGCGAGAGTAGGTGATATCTTTGACGGGGATGAGGTAGCAAGCGGCTTGCTTCACCGCGGAGTAATCTTTGAGCTCCTTGAAATGTCGGAGGAGTCGTCGTGCGGAAGCATCACATCGGGATATGAAGAGATGGATGGCGTCCTCGAGGAGGTTCTGCTGGACCCAAACGTCTGCTGCTGCCTCATAGAGGTCAGTCAGTGTGTCCATTGCGTCGAGAACGACGTTGGGGTCGTTGTTGATGAAATCATCACGCTCAAGTTGCGTGAGGAGGGCCCCGGGTGCACAGAGGACCTGGGAGGCGAGGGGCCAGTTGAGTGTCCCTGGTGGAAGTGGTTTCGTACAAAGGATGGTTTCGAAGAGGGAGGTCGAGTCGCGGGTTGGAAGGAGGGGGTTGCCTTGCGTGGAGGCCAAGGAGTGGGGCGGCATCGTAGTTCGTGTCCTTCGGTGCGCACTCGGAAGCGGCATTTGTCGCAGAGGTGGTAACGGGGGTCAAGTGGGAGACGTTGCTTGCGGTTCAGGCCGAGCTAGGGGAGCTGGGTGATGATCCACGCGTCGTAGTAAGCCTGGAGAGAGAGATCATCGTAGGCAGCGGTGGAGGGCATAGAGCTCAACTCAGCAGTTGCAAGTGTTGTCGTCTTGGGGTCCGAGTCTCACCACTCCAAGACAGCTCTTCTCTTTATACTTGTAGAGGAGTTGGAGATGGTGCGCGCGCTTGTACTCATCAAGGGTCTCTTCCCCTGTGCCCAGGAAGACGTCTTCGGGTTCCCATGAGTTCTCGCTGGGAGGGTACCCTTTCCACTTCACGAGGTAGCGGTGTCGGCTTGCCGTTCCCTTGTGACCAAGGATAGCTTCAAATTCCCAGGAGTTTTCTCCGTCTACTTCGTTCGGGGGAGGTTCTGTATAGGTTGGGCCGTGTTCCTTGGTCTCATTGTACAGGGATAGGAGACCGGCATGGAATACAGGGTGGATTCACCATTGCGGAGGCAGTTGGAGGCGATATGTCGCTCTTCCCATGACCTCGGTGATCTTGAAAGGACCTTCCTTCTTAGGAGCTAGTTTCCTCGTGGCGTAGGGGAGGCGGAGGTGCCACGTGTCGAGCCATACCTGCTGATCTTTCTTGAAGGCAGGTGTGCGGTCCTTGATTCTCTTCTCAATGACCCGTTGCGCAGCTTCTAGTGCGAATGCGGCTTCTTCTCGGGCTTTCTGTAGCCGCTTGAGTCGTTCTTCCGTGGTTGGGGAGTCAGCAACTTCGGTGATGTGGGGGATTCCTCGGGGTTCATATCCCATCATTGCGTAGAATGGCGACATCTTGATGGCGGAATGAGGTTGGGAGTTGTGCGCAAACTCGGCATCAGGGAGCATCTCATCCCATGTTTCAGGATTGTTTGCACAGAAGATTTGGAGGAATATCTCGAGTTCCTGGTTGGCTCGTTCCGTCTGGCCATCAGTCTGAGGGTGGTACGCCGTGGAGAGTGCACGTTCAATTCTGGTGAGGCAGCAGAGTTCTCCCATGACCTTAGATGCAAACTGAGGGCTGCGATCAGAGATGAACTTGCGTGCAAGTCCGAAGCATCGGTACACATGGTCGTGGTTCATCTTGGCGGTTGTTTCGGCATCCCCCTGATCCGTGCATGGATAGAAATTACCTCCTTCATAGAGTTGTGATCCACCACGACATAAATAGCATTATGTCCACGGGGAGTCTTGGGGAGTGCGGTGATGAAGTCCATCGTTTGGCATGAGAACGGTGTGGCGGGGTGTTGCGGCGGGATTGGGATGAGTGGAGTCACTGTGGGATGCGTGTTTGGTTTCATCTGCTGACAGATTCCACATCCCTTGACGTATCGTGCGATGAATTGTCCCATTCCAGGCCAGCAGAAGTCGTGTTGCATGAGGGTGGTTGTCTTGCGGATGCCCAGATGACCTGCGGAGGGGAGCTCGTGGTACAGGCATACCACGTTCCGTTGGAGTCCCGTGTCTGGAGGAACATACACTCGTGATTGATACCATACCAGGTCTCCGTCCGTCTGCCAATCCGTAAGCGAGGTCTTTGCAGGTGCAGGTCCTTTGCCAAGGAGGGCATCGAAAGCCTCCTTTACCATGGGTTCCTTTTCATGGCAGTCTCGTAGGCGATCAAGGAGATCCGCATTGATGGCTCACACAAAGAGCTGAGGGGCTAACATCACGATGTCATCATTGTCATCAGCCCCGGAATCATGGTCACTGCGTCGGGATAGAAGGTCGGCGATGGTCATTTGTGTTCCAGGGACGTGTGCCAGTTTGTAGTCAAATTCGCTGAGGAACAGCGACCATCGTGCTTGTCGTCGATTGAGCTTCTGTGTGGTGCGCCAGTAGGTCAATTTACGGTGATCTGAGCGTATTTGGAGCTTGTGCGGGCTACCAAGGAAATAGTGTTTCCAGGTCTCCAGACCGCGTATGATGCTGAGAAGTTCACAGTCATAGATCTCGTAGTTCCGTTCGGCGGGGTTCAAGGACTGGGAGATGAAGCCACAGGGGTGCAAGTCTCTGTTTGCGTCACTCTGCAGCAGGACACCGCCGGTAGCAAACTTTGAGGTGTTGCATTCAAGAGCAAATGGCCTTGTTTCATCTGGCATGACTAAGGTGGGAGCGCGTGTAAACTCGTGTTTCAGATCCTCGAAGGCGAGTTGTTGCTCCTCATCCCAATGCCATCGTACGTCCTTCTTTGTGAGGTCCACCAGGGGTCGCGCACGCTCAGAAAAGTGGAGGATGAACCGTCAGTAGAAATTCGCAAATCCAACAAAGGAGCGGACTTGTTTGACTGATTCGGGTACAGGCCAGTCAGCGATTCTGCTCACTTTCACGGGGTCCATGGCAATGGTGTCCGGTCGGATTATCATTCCCAGGAATTCCACTTCAGTGACGTTGAAGTGGCATTTCTCGGGTTTGAGATAGAGGTCGTGGTCTTTGAGGTGCTGGAGGACTTGTCGAGTTCGTTCGTGGTGTGTCGTAGTGTCCGCAGAGTAGATCAGGATGTCGTCCATGTAGATGACTAGCCAGCCTTCAGCTAGCATATCTTCAAAGATGGAGTTCATCATCCGTTGGAACGTCGAGGGCGAGTTGCATAGACCCAAAAACATGACCATGGGTTCGTATAGTCGTGGCGGACCCTGGTTGGATCCAGGAACCGCAAAAGCTGCCTTCCATTCATCGCCCTCTTTGATTTGGACATTGTTATAGCTGGCGCGCAGATCCATCTTGGTAAAGATCTTTGCGCCTTAAACTTGTCCATGAGGTCTGAGATCAGGGGGAGGGGGTAGCAGTCTTTGACCGTATTCTCGTTAAGCTTTCGGTAGTCCTGACAGGGTCTCCACGTTCCATCTTTCTTCCCAACAAAGAAGAAAGGACTGGCGATCGGAGAGTTGGAGGGTCGTATGTAACCTTTCAACTCGTTCTCTTTCAAGCACTTGTCACAGGCGTAACGGTCATGTTGATACATAAATACCCTGTAGTTGTAGTGCAGGACTCATGCATAAACACTGTAACTGACTGGCCAGCAGCTGATGCATGAGCTATGCATGGATGATGCTTGAATCATACATTGCGTGGCACAGCTCTGATATATGAGAACGACCTGCGATGTATGGATTATACATTGTGCTACATACGCTTGATGTATGAGCATATCCGGCAATGTATCCCTTATACATGATCGCACTGCGTGCGTTTGATGTATGAGCGTGTTCGGCTTGTCCGGCTACATATGCCTTATACATTGCGTCATAGATATCTCATACATGAAAGTACCACACATGTGATAGATCCCAGTCCTTGACGGCCCATCAGGCGGTACCCTCCGTCGGGTGGACAATGGTTGGGCTCCAGGGCACTGCGCCCCGCACCTTCCTATTTGGGCCACTACACCCAGGCGCTACCAGGGCTTCCATATCGGGAGGTTGCCTGCGGTCCCACTGGCCTGTCGTCACCTCAACGTGGCTGTTAGATACTTGTATTGTATTCCTGCATGTGTGGCCTTCTCCTGGCCGGCATGCTCAGCGAGCAGGTAACCGCCTACATGTATCGCACCAAAGATTGGAACATGCATACTAAGAGCATGTATGGTAGCTGTTCATCCCGCTCATTCCTAACTTGACTTTCTCTTCAATGAGCCGTTTCTAGGCAGGCTTTGTACTCAGACTTACATAACGTTGACTGAGGCCTTAGAACTTGCTGGGGTAGGGACACGCGTACAGCACTTAGCACGCCATGTGACCATGGGATATTGGGCCGTATCATCATTGCCTCTTAGTCCACGCTTATGTACTGTAAGTGCAGCTTGCTCCTCGACTGTAGGCAAGCTCCTCGTCCCCCTCCTCTTCTTGGCGTCACCATTGCGCTACGGACATTGTCTACTCTTCCCATTGGCACACTTAGGTCCAACACGGTGCGCGGTTTCAACGTGGACACGTACACATCACGTGCCAACTCTCCGTCAAGTTTTGCAGCAAGTCGGCGAAGACCTCAGACGGCTCTTGGGTTATGGCGTGTAGGAGGTGGCCGGGGATGTCAGGTCGGGTCAGGGCTCGTGACGGGTGAGCAGGCTTTGCATGCGCGTGGATGGCACTTATGATAGACAGCGCAACACAGACTAACCATTGCAATAGGTATCGCGATACATTATAACGCTGTACAGTAGGCAATTCAATGAGCGGTGCCCATATACAAGGCACAATCTACCCACAAACACATCAAGCACATATCGGATTATCTACCTAGTATGCTTCTTTTTCAGTGAGCTCGCCTTCCTCGTACCTGCCGGCCTCTTTCTGCCTGCCGTTGCCGCCATGTCTGGGCTTGATGCGCTGGTCTTCCCTTGCAGAGCAGGGGACTCATCCGGCCGCGTAGGTCGTTGACGGATACACTTAGGTCGACTCTGTTTGCCACCATTGTTCGCTGGTTCATGAGACACCGTTACGGAGGGCGCAGGCTCTCCAATGGCTGACGCGGGCATGTCGTCCGCAGTGATCTGGCCTTGCAGCGCAATTGGAGCGGGCAGATCCCGTTGAGTCGGCTCGGCAGGAGGTGGCGGCGATATAGAGGCTGGTGGTCCAAGGGATACCATTTGCGCTTGAGGCGGGGAATCTTGAGTCTGCAGCAGAGAAACCTCACTGGTTCCCTGTACGTTTGTCACGGGCAACGAGAACTGAGGAGAGGCCGACTGCATAGCCCTTGTCATCGAGCTCGAAGCCTCGGCGACAGTGGCACATCCCTCCGGTTGCATGCCTTGAATTGGCGTATTGACTGGCCCCCGTGTTGTTGCATCTGATGAAGGTCCTGCTATCGTAGCAGATGTCACCGCAGGACGGTCTGACACACTGGAAGACGGGCCGGGCTCGGAGCCTAACGTCAGTGGGGCTTGACTGACAGCAACTTGAGGTTGGTTCGGTTGCACTAAGTTGCCGGGTATCATATCAATGGTCGATGTGCTAGGTGCTTGCGCCGGCGTGTGCGGAAGAGGCTCAAGCGGTGACGGGACTGGGGCCCATGTGGTGAACGATGCAGGCGCTGCCGATGTGAACGATGCAGACGCTGCCGACGCAAAATTGAAGTTCGGATAGGATAAGCCTGATGTCTGCGTGGAAGACAGGCCATTCACTGGCGGAAACAAGAAGTCAGACGGAGGTAAGGTGTTGGTCAAGAACAGCATGGGCATCGAGGTTGCATTGGACTGGAATGCCGAGAACGCGGGCAAGTCTATGCCTGGTTGCATGCCAGCGAGCCAGAGAGCTGTTGATGCTGCGGCTCCGGCAAACTGCGGCGTGCCAGGCCCAGGGTTCAAGTCCGCATTGTTGAGGAACTCTGAGATGGCTGAATAGTCGATCTTGTCCAATTCCTTGTAAGAGGCCTCTAACGTCTCAGAACCAGGCAAGGAAGACTTCCCGCTGGATGTGTGGAACACCTGCAAAGGCCTGGCCTCATTGCTGCCAAGCTGGTCCGCGATCATAGGGGGTGGGGGTAACAAACCAACTGGCAAAGCAGCAGGCGCAGATGCGGCCATGGCAATGGCTGGCGCGATAGTCTGCGCGGTGATCGTTGGTGTGGGGAGAGTCGGCGAGGCGTTGGTCAGATGAGCAGACAAAGCCACTGATGGATGAGGTGACGAGGTTGCATGAGAGGCTACACTTGAAGATGGCCCAGCAGTCGACGGAGATCGGGTTATTATTGCAGGAGGTGCGGAGGCTGTCAAAGGAGGTGCAGCGTTTGTCGAAGGAGATGCAGCGGGTGTCACAGGAGGTGCGGCGGTCATCGAAGGAGGTGCAGCAGCCGTCAAAGGAGGCGCAGCAGCCGTCAAAGGAGGTGCAGCGGCCGTCAAAGGAGGCGCAGCGGCCGTCAAAGGAGGTGCAGTGGCTGTTGCAGGAGGTACAGCGGCAGTTGCAGGAGGCGCAGCGGCAGTCAATGAAGTTCCGGTGGGATGAGCAGCCCCTCCATCATGGGCCAGAGCATTGGCGTTGGTGGGACCACTGGGCAACGATTGCCCCGGGCCGACAGGGTCTGGCCCAGAGCGGGTGGATGCCTGTGTATCCGGCGACACTGATGTCAGGGCTGCAGAAGGACTCCGAGCAGGCAAGCTTGTACTCTCCCTTGATGCTTTCGTGTCATCTATGTACACGAGTAAGTATTACAGCCTCTGTTCTGATTGCTTTTTAACTCACTGATTTCATCTCTTGTATACTCGAGGAATGGTCTGACGAATTGGTCAACAAAGTTGCTGAGCCGCCCAATGTTGTGCTCGAGGTTGTCCCCTTCCTGATGGAATCTGTGATCATTTGGTGAGTTTGATTGATCTATAACACGAGTACGAGTACTTACGAAATGGTTTTGTATTGACCGTCCGACCCAGGTACTTCTCCAGCAGCCAGAACCAAGAAGTACCAGCCAGTCTTGCGATGCAGCTCAAGAAAGATCTGACGGAGGATGGCAGGCAGATCATCGAGCAGTCTGACATGTGACGGTAAGTCTGGCACATGCATACACGAGCCCGAGGTACATACGCTTGACTAGCAATGGCATTGATGACATGCTCATCCGTGACTTCTTCGGCTCCTTCACTCTCTGAGGTACCATGCTCTGCTCTCGAGGCACAAAGGGTGCGTATTTCCTCCTGAATCTCCGCCTTAACATCCTCATCTTCGGCGTCGTATGCCTGCTTCGTCCACCACTTGATCACCTCAATCCTCTCAACCTTCAAAACCTTGCGCTCACCCAGCTCTGTCTCCACCAGCGGTTGGACCCGATCCTTGTAGTATTTACGGGAGTACAGTTCGGTGTCCTTCAAGGTGCGTGAACCCTTTGGCCTGAGAACGTCCAAGTTCACCCGTGTGGCTTTTGCCTTGCGATTTTGCTGAGAATTCAGGTTGTTATACCAATTATAGATTTTCTGTGTCTGTACGTCAGTGAGATATCTATCATTTCCAAGACACACACGCACCCTCTTACAAGTCTTGATGGAGTTCTGTAGCAGTGTCTGCTGCTCATCTGATAGCTTGCCCTCGACATCTGGAAGGATCCTCGACTTCTCTGGGAACACGGTGAACCACGTGTTGTAGATGTCAGGCCAGAAACGTTGGAGTGACTGTGAGAGCTGATGTGACCTGAACGATTCTTGATAAGACTGCAAGAAGTCGAGCTCAGCATCTGTTGTCCATTGACAAGTGGGCATGGCGGTGAGTCACAGTGTTGTCACGAGGTCAAAGCCGTGGTTCTCATGTATGACCAGGTCGATATATACAGCTGCAGTTGCAACGCTGTTACTGTGGTTTCCAAATTACCGACTTTCTGCTCAGATCGGCATGCGGGCGCTTAACGGGCGCTTAGTTAACGATGTAAGACTGTTACTGCAGTTAAACTAGCTTGTAAGGACCCGGAAAAATGCGGAGAAATCAGTGAATATTCACAAAGACAGAGACAATAAGTTCCAAGGCTTCAGTAAAGGAGAAAGACCATGATTCATGCTGTTCCTTCAATACACTTACAGCAATTCCTCTTGCACAACAGCCTGATGCTCATAGAAGCAATTTATCAGGCTCTAGTCATTGTCTGCACAGCACACACTCCCACAGCATGTAAGCATGTGTCAAAATGTAATATTGAGCAAGAGGGCCATCAGATGAGGGTCTATATATGTGCTTTTCTTGTGCATTGCCATATGGAGTAGGCCACCTGCCCAATGGGGAAACCACAGCTGATGCAGGACAAATGTGCTTGTTATAAGCTTCTAAAAATGGTTACAATCCTGATAATATATTGGAACACTAAACAGACACACCTGGTCATCATGAATAGCACAGGTCAGCAATAAATCTGACTTGCTGGGGAGCGGGCCATGTCTGGCAATATGATCCCTTCAGTTTGAAATCTCAGAGCAAGCAGGCAACATGTCTAGTACTGTCACATCTGTAATACTACCTCCTCAGCTCCAGACATTCAAACTTACATATCTCACACTCTGGATTCTGACTTGTGCATGCCTTGATAACCCCACTATTCTTCTTCATGACCTTCACAATGATTGAACTTACATATCCAGGCTTCCCTACAGACATGGTACCATCTACGTACCAACAACTATTGAGCCCATCATCCATCATTTAATCTACATGGGTCCACAGAATTGTGAGTTCAAATGCCTTGCCTATGGCTAGAACATTGCTTTGGTAATCATTTCTCACTCCTCACCGCTTATATGTTCTCTAACCTCTGTTTTGATTATTGCACAATTTTGGTCCTCAGTCCATTTTATAATCTGTGCCTGTGATGCTGTTGGGTGCATGGTAGCTGACAAGTATTATCCAAAATGAATTACATGATTGTAATGAATGCACAAGTGAGTCAGTCATATATCTAGCAGCATTCATTGCAAGTAGTCACTCCATTTCAGCAGATGCTATTGCTGATTGGTGTGATGAACATTTATGATGGTGTCACATGTAAAATCACATTTTAGAGGGTGCATAGGCATGCCAACGTGGTGTCAGAACAGTTAAGTTGCATATGAATGCCCCTTGGGCTCAGGCATATGGTTTCATTATTTAGGTGTGTGACTGACATATCTAGAGCACAGGGAGGTTGCCTCATGATGTGTTTATCAGTCACTGATTGCTACAGTACAATCAGCAAATTGATGGCTTTCATATACGTATGTTACAATCAACCATTGACGATCAAACAGATGTCATAAGAGAACTGCCAAGTGTGAGTGATGATGTCAATGAACATATTTTCTTACATTCTCTGCCCTGTTTGAGTTCCTGTCTGTCGTATCTCTGCTTCAATTTTAGACATCTGATCACAGAGTTAATCACCCTGTCAATAGGGATTTGAATCTCAGTGAAATAGATCTCTTTGAGCTATTCAAAGTGGTAAGATGTTGTGAAAACCCTGATAATGCTTGACATGGTTACCAAAATAGAGTGTACCATTATGACTTAGTAATTGATTAGTATCATCATCACTAACCAAGCATACAACAGTAATTATATCAGTACTGAAGGATCTTATCACAACTGGAATGAGCAGGAACACAACAGAAATTGGGAAACAGTCACACTAATAGTCCAGATAGTATATGCATTGTTATGTGCTTCAGAGCATTGAAATGTCAGTGTCCAAATATCTTGGTAATAGTATAATGAAAGCATACAATGATGACCTTTGAATTTTTGACAGGAAAGATAAACAGACAGAATACACATCAAAAACATTCAACAGATATAGCCACTGTAAGCCCGCTGTCCGCACATTGGGTGTTATGGTTCTGTTTTTGATTTAATGACAGCTACTTACCGAGTTTATTGCAGAGTCAATAGGAATAGTAACCTCGGTAATAGATATTTGTATTGCCTATACAAAGCGGTAACAAACGGTAAAATCCTCAGTAATCTTCGGCAATGCAATTACCGAGACAGCACAAAGTTGAGCTGTAATGAGGATACCAGATCCACAACGAATACAAAAGAGGGTGGGACTTTAGTCAGTGCTGCTATACAAGTATGCAGTACTGCTCTTCAACTGGGAAGAGTAAGCTAAGAATGGATTTGAGTTGGCAATGAATGGGGATTATTGCCGAGGTTTAGAGCTTTTTAGAATAGAGGATGAAGTCTGAATACAGAGTATTAGTATCCAGAGGTTGATTCCGAAGGAATGGGCTTTTTCGGTTTTGAAGTCACACAACAGAAGTTGAATGGAAGTCTGAACAGCTAGCTTTGACTGCACAGTGACGATGGCAAGTTACAAAACCCTAATGTAGCAGCGCAAGGCCGTGCTTCAAGAGGGACTCACTAAGGCAATTGTCAAGTGAGTTGCTGGTTAGGCTAACCACTTTGTTGATAGTAATGCGGCTGAGACGTGCTAGTATGGAACTAGTTGATACAGAGATCTATTGATGTTGGTAAAAACAAGTTTACAGAATGAGATGATGACTAAGCACCTTCTCTTACTGAACACAACTTGTGAAGTCAGTCAATGAGTTACTTAATCTTACTAGTAGTGTGAGGACTGTACTAAGTAAGGTTTCACTGTTGCAGGTCTTAGAGTGCGTTGGTAAGAACTCGGCAAGAGCGGTTGAGTGGCTAGTATGGCTAACTTAGCACTGGGGACAAAGTAAGACTTTGAGTGGCACACAGGGTGCGTTTTGGTGAAGAGTAGATGGTGAATTGAAGATAGATGTCCTTGACCGTGCTCAGGAATGGCCTTTTATGCCATTACCAAGGACACAGCCAATGGAGCTACATGGAAGTATATAGAAAATCAAGGAGTGTTGTAGAAGTGTATAGTACATGTCCTTGACTCATTTACACCGCTTCAGAGGCCATTCTAGGAGAACAATAGGATCATAGCCTTACACTTCATTGTTTCCAACGAGGCAAGCTATGTTACCGAGTCATCCTAGTACAGCCACAGTACAGCCACTGTTTCAGGACTGTGATTCCCGAGGCATTACCAAGGCATGGAAGAGTCCGCATTTTCGGTGTACAGCCTAAGGATAGCACAGCCATTCCTTTCTATGCCCATACAAAACCATTATAACTCGGTAATTGATCGGTAATAACCACCATTTACCGAGCATACAATAGCTCTTGTATCAGTACTGAAAGCATCTGGTCATAATGAGTAAGAACACACTAGAAACTCGGTAATAGTTCGTTTAGTAGATACAGTAACAAGCGCTTCTGAAGCATGAAAACGTCGGTAATCAATACCTCGGTAATAAAACAATGAAAACGCTACATTGATGTCCATTGAGTGGAATAAAGGAAAGATAAGGAGAGTAAGATAAGCACATAACAAACCTTCACTGATGCAGCCACTCGGTAAGTAAACACTTCTAACGAGTTTCTGTGCGCTCTGAGGCTATCAAGCCTCTATCCCTAACATCAGGTAATCACTCAGAACAAGAACAGGAACCAAGTGTCTTCATTGTGCAATAGTAGAGACTAAAGGACAATGAAGGTGTGAATCCAAACATGAAGGGAATCACTTATGTGACGTGAAGGAACGGTGACAGGTATGTGTGCGGAACCATGACATTTGTGTAAGGTAAGTGTCCATAGTGATGTATTGTAGTAACTGCAGGGAGGCGGGTTACAGCCACTTGCTAATGAAAAAACAATGTGGTTTCCTTCCATGAGCTCCAAGGCCATCTGCCTCAGGAACATGTATTTGTGACTTCCCCTATTGAGCCAGTGTTCTCAATGAATCTCTACCCATTAATTTCTTTTTGATTTTGAGTGATGGCATGCACATTGGCACAATGCTGAGTGACCCTTTATGTGGTGATATAGGCATAGGTTGGACAGATTAGGAATGTGAAGATGTATTCTGGTGGTAGTACCTATATAGTATTGATCCAACATGTATGTATGCTTCATTTTGCCCGGTACAACACAGATAGCTGCTGGAATCCCTGTAGTGAAGTCAGTGAACACTCAATGGTTTTCATTGGATGCTACATAGAGGTGTTGCCACAACAAAAATGTGGGCAGCATGAAGTTGTTGACAAATTTCAACTTCAATATTGGTACAGCACTATATAGCCATTGTCAGTTATTTCAACCAATATTTGATCAGAAATCACATGAGCAGCACTGTGGTAGCCATCTTGAATATTGGATTGGGCTGCAAACACAAATGCAGTCATATGACTTGCACAGAAGCTATCACTGTTGTGAAGCAACACCACAACAACTGTCAAGCATCCCCTAATTTTGTAATGATTATTGAGCTCAGATCAACTAGCAAACCACCAACTCACAGGGAAATCCTTCTGCCCAATATAGTAGCCAGATACTTTGATGGAATGTCTGTGAATATTCTATTTGGTTATATGAATCAGATAAGTGGGAGAGAAACCAAATTTAGTCGGAAGTCTCTGGAGCTACATGGTAGTGTGATACCCAAGATCACATCTATGATATGACACATACCATTGTGGATTTTTGGGGTATTTTTGATTTTATCATGGCCATGGAAGAGCAGTAACACTCAAAAGGGCAGTTTTGACCAAAAGTAGCAGTATGCTAAGGGCGTATCATTGCTATCCTGCATAGATATTATCTAAGGAACCTTATGAACTGTATGTCTGATGAAAGTTGCCCCGGATCCAATCTCCCAGTTTTGCATTCTTATTCAGCAGTCTAGCAATGATACAACTTCACTATCCAG